AAAATATGACTTTAATGAACTGCTCATAGAATGATGATAATGTGAGTAATATTTGCCTAAAAGGTCTCTGATATTTGTCCAATAACTAAATGGTAATTGTCTAATATATTGTCTATAATCATCTGATAATATACTGATGTAGGTGGCAGCCCTGGCCTGCCAGTGACCTATGATTGGGGGCTGTGAGTACTGCTATGGAGTCATTAATGAGCAAGCAGTGGTGAGATCAAATTGTTGGAGAATTTGCTGCAGTGTTTGCAAAATTGTGTGAATATTATGATCATTGAGAAGGCAGATGATCATTGCGCCCTGGCTGAGACCTTCCTCACAATAGCCAAGAAGGATAGGCTGAAGTACTTCTTCTTGAATTTCATTTATTTGTGGCATGTTGTTTGTAGCGGATCAATTACAAGGTAGTGAGTCAAAAGATACAGTTGAGTGATTGTTGAATTTTCAACAGAGACAAGTGTGGGAATTGCAAAAAGCACTTGTGGTGATGGAAGTTGCTGGTGGTGATGATGGTAGGTGTTGTGGTGTTGAAAATCCGGCTTCTGGGGTGGTGTGAGGTGGTAAATCCGGAGGCAGAGATCAAAAATCAAAAATCAAAAATCAAAAATCAAAAATCAGAAATCAAATCCAAAAACCAAAAACCAAAATTTGAAAAGCACCATGGCCATCATTTCATGTCACGGCTTCCGTATATGTAGCATATGCTTTATCGCTCAGATTTGTAGTGCAAGATGGTTTGATGACAAATTCTATTCTCAATCATTTTCCCAGCATGGGGTTTGTTCCCACCAGGGAACCTATTCAATTCCAGCAGTAAATCCAGCTAAGTATTTCCCTGTTGGCTTATCTTGCACTATCCTCTTTGCTGACAAGTATTTCTTTGAGGGTGAAGCTCTTGCCCATATCAGAAAACTGTACATGTCTTCTGCAATTAGAGGAATCACCTTTCTCAAGTCTCTTCCCCAACTCTTGATGTACTCTCTAAAGTTGGTTACTGCACTCCTATAGCATTGAAATGTTGATTCCGCCTATGTTCCACCAATCATAAGCTTTGGAATTTGTGAGGTCTTCTTGTCTTCAATTTCATTGTTGATATCTGCAAAATCAACTTTTTCTACCCTATTCTTCTTTCTTTGTGCCTTGTCTGACGTTCTTCTAAACTCTCTTCTAGTAAACCTACTTGTTCAGAAGTCCTATCACTGCCAGCAAAGATCATTTAGAGTTGCTGTAGTGCCCGCAGGCAAGTTTTCCCAGGTTCAAGTCTAGGAAAGCGTCAACACAGACATAGCAACATTGTCCTTTGGAAACTGAAGAGCAAGGTTGGATGTGATCAAATTAACTCTGGATCAAGTTCCATTTTCTATTATGTGTCCTTTTAGTCTTTACTCAACCCTTGTTGGATACTATTACTGACCAAGGATGAAGTGTAAAATGGGCTAATCCCTAACAAGAACCTCTTCTGACCATCATTCTGGCAGTGGCAACCTAAGACTGGTATTTGAATGAAGTCTACAAACATCAAGAGCAATTATCAAAAAGATGATTAAAGATCTTCCATTCATCAGGGAGCTTTCTCTCATTGAAGTTTTCCCTGGCATGTACATATATAATTCAGATCAAACTGACTTGGCACAAATATGTGCAATGGACATCTTTGCGGGTTTGTCTTTTTATCTTTCCTAAAGACCATCCACAATGCACTCTGTAGAGAGTGAATGACTTTAACAAACCAAAACAGCCGGAACCAAAATTTCGCAATTGGTCACGTGACTCCCTCCGTGACTGCGCAAGTAGCCATCCACAGATTTTCGCTTCATTCTCCTAAACCTTTTTCCAAACCTTCTTCATCCTCTCAAACCACTTTCTCTCTCTATTTCTTCCTTCTTCCTTCATACCCGGAACCCGTATGGACGACAGTATGGCAGAAGGCCCGCCCGATCCTGATCAACAGGTCGCAGCGACCCTCACGGATGATCTGTCCATGAACGACGACGCGGCAATCGATCTGGTCCCAATGGGACAACAAGAGTCTCTGACCCTTGCTCAACGTCCACCAACTGGTCTACAGCAGGCAGACATAACCCCAGGGGTTTTGATTGGCCCCATATCGGCCAATTCGACTCCAGCAGAGAAGTCGAGGAAAAGAACTCGCACTGCTCCTCCAGCCCCCAGCACCTTAGACGAGGTTGATGAAATCACCAGCACCCCCCGATCGGCCCGTATCGCCAAACTCTTCCCAGGAGGCTCAGATGTGGTCTCCAAGCCCATCAGTGTCCTCATCGATAGGCTCATCGAAGTTCAGAAGGCTACGCTGATTCCAAAACTCAAGACCAGTAAATCGGTCAAGGTAGATGTTGAATCAGCGGCCGACATTCTACTTTTGTCGGGCCTGATCCAAGAACAAGCGAGCCTCAACGAGGCTCGACGGGTCGTCTTCGAACCAGGTAGACAGACCATCCCCAACCCATCCATCTCTCCCAACGCCCAATTCGACTTTCGAGTCTCCACCATCTCCGACAAACTGGATATGGTGGTCGAACACCTGGCTAAGCTGGGACCAATATCAAAAGGTCCCACGCCTAAGACCCAGGCGCAACCTGGCAAATCATATGCCCTAGCTGCATCAAAACACGCCCCAGAGGCACCCCAACAACAACAAAAACAGTCGGCTCGGGCCAAGCCCAGAGTTCAACCGACGCCCACCCCAAAACACAAGCCCGATCACACCATCACGCTCAACCAGCTTGACCCAGCAAATATAGCTGGTCGTGAGAAAACGATTCCTGAGCTGATTAAATACTTTAACGCTCAATTCAAAGCGTACAAAGTGAAAGTCAAGCCAGATGACACGGCTGAAATCGAAATAAGGAACATCCACCGTCACCCCTCGGGTGACCTTGTCCTTTATCTAGACAACCCCAAACTCGCCCAAGCCTTGAGAGCACATGTTGACTTCTGGCTCCCAAAGATCTCACCCAGACTATCCATGAAACAGGAAGTCTACTCCATTATAGTTCATGGTATACCCACAACCTTTAACCCAACACGCCAGGAGGATATTGATCTCCTCAAAACGTGCAATGGTTCCCTCCTAGATGGAGCCACCTTTGTACGATGGCTGAAAAAAGACACAGCCGAAGACGCCTCAAAGAGACATTCGTCTCTATTGATTGGCTTCAGTTCGCTGGCCCAGGCCACTCTGGCTGCTCGTACGAAAGTATGGCAGGGCAGAGGTAGACACCGCACCGAGCTGAGTGGGCCTCCACCCACGAAATGCTACAACTGCCAAGGTGTAGGGCACACAGCACCAGCGTGCCCCGTCCCACCAATGTGTCCTACGTGCGCAGGACCCCACCTGGCCCACACCTGTCCAGTAAAGGGCACACTGCCCCTAAAATGCACGGCATGTGCAAGAGGAAAGCTCATGGCTGACCCACAGGCAAACCTCCCCCGGCTATTCAAAGACAACCACCCAGAGTTCTTACATCACCCGTTCGCAGCCACCTGCTCTGCAAAAATTGCTAGCCAAATCCCCCGCCAGAACAAAGAGTCTTCCCCGAAGCTCATCATCATAGACCAACCTGAAAATTCCACTCAATGTTAGAACAACAATTGAAGGAAAAATTAAACATTAAAGACACAGCTGCAATTTTACAACTTAATTGTTGGCGCTCAAAACATGTCATGAATTCTCTCTTTAATTCTTCACTAACTCAGCTTTTTTCCATCATCTCAGTCCAAGAACCGTGGCCAAATCCTTTTGACAACAAGCCCCCAAATCAAAAAGGATGGACACTTATCAGCCCAACACCTAAATCACTCTCCAAAGAAGACAGACCTAGAGCATGCTTGTATATAAGACAAGACCTCGAGGCTGAACTTAACCCAATCCATTCGCCGTCCCGTGATCTGGCTACATGCGTAATCACGATCAAGGACTTCACCTTCCTTCTTGCTAATGTATACAACCAACCATCCACTTTTTTAGGATTCACCGCTTTTGATGACATGATGAAGCTCATCCCACCAGAACTACAACGCCTCCCAATCATCTGCACCACGGATTCAAATCTACACTCACCACTCTGGAACCCCCGCCACAGCACAACAAACGATAAAGACGCTGAGAGGCTCATTGATCTGATGCTGGACTGGGGTTTGAACCTCCGCTCTCCAAAAGGTAAATCGACTTTCGGCCTGGGCTCTGCAAACACCGAAGGGACGTCCATCGACCTAGTCTGGGTCAACGAAGAATTTGATGACACCATGATCACGTGCCTAATTGATGAAGATGATCTCACGAACCACAACTCCGACCACCAATCTATCATTACCACATTTAACGTCAAACAGACGACACACTCGCCAAACCATCCTGCCTCAAAGGAAAGGAAAAACTGGAATAAAGTATGTCACATCTCACTGCGCACCGAAATCGCTCAAAGTCTCCCAAAACCCCACCCTTTGCTCTCCAGGGAGGACATAGAAACCTTCGACCACGAACTTAGAACCATAGTCAGCACGGCGCTTGATAAACACTCACCACGCAAGGCGCAACCCGGAAAACACAAAGAATGGTGGCGCCCCGAAACCCTTGAGCCTCTTCGCCGAGAAGCCAATCGCCTTCGACGACTCTGAAGAAACAACGAACTA